CTGGTATCTTTTTCTTTTTCTTCTTCCTCTTTAGTTTTGCAGATTGCAGATCATGTTTCTTATTGAGGATATGTTACAGTGTGTTTATACATTGAACATTTGGTAGACATTTAGACTATTTCCTTGTTTGTACTATTACAAAAACTGCTATGGAAATTTACACAAGAGTCACTGTATAAATGGATTTTTATTTTTCTAGTATAAATACCTAGGAGTGGAATTGTTGGGTCCTATAAGTGCATGTTTAGCATTATAAGATGTTTCCATTTGTTCTCTCGATGATTGAACTAATATTTGAGATTTACATCTATTATGATAAGTAGATGTGTTTAAATTGAACTGTTTTATCCTATTTTGTTTAGATTATAAACCATCAGTTATTTACAGATTGTCTATTATTACAAATAATATTGCATTGAGTATGCTTAAAAGTTGTTTCCTGGGCACATATTCTGTGTAAGAGTTTCTCTAGAATAGACATCTACATTTGAAATTGCTAGGTTCTGAGATATACTCATCTTTAATTTTACTAGACATTGCTTTGCAAAATGGGCAGGATTTAACTCTTAAAACTACTGTTAAGTGCCCTTAAGTCACAACCACCTCATAGCTAACTCTCCAGGTTTTCAGAGGCTATAAATTACATGAGATGAGATTGCCATTTTTCTCCTGCAGAGCAGCTTGTGGATTAAAACACTTGTTGGCAAATGATTTGGCAAGTGGTTGGTAAGGGTTGGTAGCACAACTCCTCAACCCAGTAGGCCACCAAAGGACTTTGTTAATGCTACTGTGTTGTTATTATTGTTAAATGCCGTTGAGTCATAGACGACTCATAGCGATCATGTGAATGAAAGACTTGAACACTTGTGTAACTTTCATTGTTTCTCCACATTCATAGAGTTTCCAGAGGCAAGCTGTTTCAGAAGTGGATTCCACTTCTGCTTCCAATCTTGTTTTAACCAGGAAGCTCCGCCAAACACTGTCCACCATGATTACATTTGACATATCAGTGTCACAGTGTTTAACATCACAGCAACCACAAGTTACCTCTGTACAGCAAATGGACAGACCAGTGCTCATTTTGAAGAATGTTTGAACAAAAACAATTAAAACCAGGCTTGAGGGCCACAGATTAAAATCTTTGGCTTGGTATAATCATAATGTCTATCCACTGGGCCAACAGAGCTCACTCTATGTTGTTGTTAAGTGCTGTTGAGTCATAGACGACTCGTAGCCACCCTATGAATGAAAGAACTGAACACTTGTATAACTTGGGTCAGCAGTTTGGGGCTGGAATCCAGGTTGGAAATTGTCTTCAGCAGCCAGGTTCTACAAAGTCTTGTTTGCTGATTCTTGTGAGGATTAGGGTGGAATGTTTACTAGCCAATGGGTATGAGTTGATTTGATTCGGCCTCCTATTTAAAAAATGCTACTATACGTTTCCAAATTACTGCAGACTTACATTGGTTCTTTCTATATTTTTCTTCTAAGTAAATATTTGGTTCTTTTATGTCAGAGTATTTCTAAATTTTTCATATTGCTATTAGATACCTCTTTCTCTTTTTCTAAATAGCAAATTCATATGGGACATTGTGTGAATCTGACTGATGAGGCTGTGGAAGCTATCCTTACATGCTGTCCTCAGATATGTATATTACTCTTCCATGGATGCCCTCTGATAACAGGTGAGTTGGACAGACTGTTTCAGTTCAAATACTAGTTTCATCTTTCAGTATGTGATCTTGAATAAATTGCCTATTCATATTTTTTCATCTGTAAAATGGGCAAAATTATGGCACCTATATCATGATGATTATATGATAACTTTATTTGATACCTAACAAATACCCAACCATGCTATCAAGTTGATTCCAACTCATAATGATCCACCATCGGATTTCTGAGGCTGTAAGTCTTTATAAGAAGAGACTACTCATTTTTCTTCTGTGGAGCAGTTGACAGATTGTAGCCTTTTTGTTACCATTTAATGAATCAGGCCACTGAGCTCTCTTAGAACATTGTCAGGACTTGTTAAAAGTTAGTCTTGTTGATGATAGTGTTGTTGATGGTGGTGATGTTGTGTACCATGGAGTCAAAACCAACCCACAGCTGAAGCTGACCCTTCAGCAGGTTTTCTGAGGCAGTTAATCTCGTGGGAGGGATTACTCTTCTTTTCCACAGTGCAGCTGGTTGATTTGAACTACATGCCCTCTAGTTGACAGCATAGCTCCTTACCACTAGGCAACCAGAGATCCTTGGTGGTTATGATAATTGTTCAATAACAAGCATGATGGTACTGGTTGTAGGAGTGGCAGTTGTTTCTGTAATTGAGATAGTATTTAGCAACAAAATTTTTCATGTAGAGTATTAAGGAGCCTAAAGAATTTTTGTTTGTGTGTGTTATGTTTATCATATTTCTTTTATTAGAAATTCAGACTGAGGCATTTTAATAAATGAATTCCTTATTTAAAAATGGTCAACCCACTACATGGAAAAAAGAAATATTTTCATTATCTTTTCAAATAATTATATGTAATCTTCTTTAATATTGCCCCAAAGCTTAACTAGAGCTAAGTTTTCAAAGTTTTTGAGTAAAAGTTTACATAGCATACTAGTTATTTAACTACTCACACACATTTTGTTTAATAACTAATTTCAATACCTACAATGACGATGCAGAGACATTTTACTGTTAATCATAACAAATTATGGCTAACATTGAGAAGAATGAGAATCCCGGAATACTTAACTGTGCTCGTGCAAAACCTATATCTAGACCAAGAGCCTGTTGTGCAAACAGAGGAAAGGAACATGGCATGACTTAAAATTAAGAAAAGTGTGCATCAGGGTTTTATCCTCTCTCCATACCTGTTCAATCTGTATACTGAGCAAATCATTTGAGATGCTGGATTCTATGAAGAAGAATGTGGCATCAGGATCAGAAGAACAGTCAATAACCTGCATTGTGCAGATGCCACAGCCTTGCTTGCTGAAAACGAAGGAAGACTTGAAGCACTTGCTAAAGAAGTTCAAAGACTAGTCTTCTATACAGAGTATAACTCAACATCAAAAAAGCAAAATTCTCACCACTGTACCAATAAGCAGCATTGTAATGGAGAAAATATTGAAATTGTCAATGAGTTCATCTTAGATCCACAATCAACACCCTTGATACAGCAGTTAGGAGCTTAGGAGATGTATAACATTGGGAAAGACTGCAGGCAGGGACTTCTCCAGATTACTGAGGAGGAATGATGTCAGTGTGAAGACTAAGGTACACCTGATTCAGGCTGTGGTCTTTTTAGTCACATTATCAATTTGAGAGCTGGACAGAGAATAAAATTGATGGAAAAAGGATTGATGTCCTTGAACTTTGAAGTACTTATGACATAATTCCCAGCAGCACAGTAATACACACCCTATTATCAAGGGGATGATTTCCAAAAGAGGTCTAGAAGCCTCTTCAAGTAAGAACTACAGAGTTCTGACTCAGATATACAAGAAAGACATCACTACCAAGTGAGAGAAAGAGAAAGAAACTGAAGTTTATTAGATGTTCATAACGGACTATGAACAGGTCAGGACAGACTAGCCCCCATCTTTATATCTTTTGCCAGTGGGGAGTGGGGTTCACACAGCTGATGGTGCATTCCTTCTAATAGCTGTATGGTGATTTCCGACCATCTCGTTTTTCTTTTCCTTGAGAGTCTTATTTTGCCACATTCCTTGAGAGCCCGTTTTTATTGTTACATTGCCACAGTCTTTGTCAAAAAGAGTTCTGACTGATCTCCTTTGTTAGCTTTTCCTTTGCCATTTCCTGTCATACCACGGTATGGCAAATTGACAGATGAGGGGTGATCACTGCCACTGTGTGTCCATTTATTCACTGTAACAACTGAAAGAATTCACAGAGAGCACGGTTAACCTACAATAAATGTATGACAACCAAAAAGCATGCCAATACATAGACTGTTGATGAGGTCTGGGAGGAATCATGACACTGAACTACCCATCACAGAGGGTGTGCTATATATGCGTGCCAACCAAGATATTTCATATGACCCTTAGGGCTCAGGGCTCTTAGCAACTTGCTAATATGGTCACAGTTTACATTGTGCCTCCTGAGGCTTAATCAATGTTAGGCTTCCAGATGGTCCTCCTTGGTGTGGTCAGCCTTCATTTATAAGCCTTATTTGTTGGTGTGGCTCAAAAAAACCAAGAACAAAGGCCAAAGTGCTTTCTACAAGGTGAATCCACATTTCGCAAATATAAAACCTAGATACACATTTGCATGCTCTCTTCTGAAACAAACCCGAGTATTGCATTAGATAATTATAGGGGTAAATAGAAAATATTTCATTAGACCTGAGGTAACCATCCGCTCTCCTGACTGAAAGTATCGGTGTCACACCTGAACACTAATGTATCTCAACACACTGCCACTGAATTGGCACACTGATTCAGTCAACTCAAAGATATGCTGTTCTCCTTGTAATCTGTGTGTTTAATAGCATGTCTTCAGAGTTAGTACAGCATCCCTGTCTGGGAAGTTCAATTAGCATATTCTGTTCTAGAAAACATAATGAAAATACTGTGACAGAAAGTAAGGCTCAATTCAATACATTAATACTACTTTCTCAGCTCAGGTCACTATCTATCTGTAAAGCATAGACAATCGCCTCCCATGCAATTTACAACCTCTGAAAACCCACTGGAGCTATGCTGTGAGTCACTTCCAACTCAATGGCATACAACAACTAGCAATGGTATTAGAAAGTACTGACAGATTTATTGATTATATGTACTATTTTAGAAATATTTAAGAACTTTCTATATAACTAGTAATAGTATTTAAATATTAAAAGTACATCTTGAAAGTGGGGAAACAACAACCTTTGTAACAAATGGTGTTGGCAAAATTGGAAAACTATCTGCAGAAAACTCAAGCAAAATCCACACCTCACTCCATACACAAAAACCAACTCAAAGTGGATCAAAGACCTAGGACTAAAACTTCAGGGACTATAAACTTCACTAGACAAAAGCTTGGGAGAACTCTAGAAGCCCTTATCCACAGCATTAACATTCTTCCAAGCATCCTGAAAAACCTACAACCAGGAGAAGATAAAATAGATGAATGGGACCTTCTAAGAATCAAATCCCTATGCACATCCAAAATCTCCAACAGGGTGAAAAGGGAAGCCACAGACTGGGAAAAATTATTTGGTAATGACAAGTCAGGTAAGGGACTTATATCTAGAATTTATAAAATATTTGAGCACCACAACAAGATAAAGGTGAATAATCCAATTGAAAAATGGGCATAGGATATGAACCGACACTTCACCAAAGAAGACATTCAGATGGCCAACATGCACATGAAGAAATGTTCAAAATCAAGAGATGCAAATCAAAACAACTATGAGAGATATCATCTCACCCCAGTAAGATTAGCAAAATTTAACAGAAGAGCAAACAACAAATGCAGGCGAGGTTGTGGAGAAAGTGGAACCCTTAATTCACTGTTAGTGGAAGTATAAAATGGTGCAACTACTATGAAAGGCAGTATGGTGCTTTCTCAAAAAGATGGAAATAGAAATACCATTTGACCCAGCAATTCCATTACTGGGAATACACCCTAAAGAAACCAGAACTGCCACCCAAGCAGATATATGCACACCCATGTTTATCATGGCTTTGTTCACAATAGCAAAGAGTTGGAAACAACCCAAGTGCCCATCAACAAATGAATGGATAGAGAAGCTGTGGTATATTCACGTAATGAAATACTATGCTACACTGAAAAACAAGGAACTCATGAAATATTATACTAAATGGGTGACCATGGAGGACATTATGCTGAGTGAACTATCTCAGTCATAAAGGGACAAATATTGCATAATGCCACTCTTGTAAAGCAGGACTGATATCAGGGTTGGGGGAAATCTAAGAAAAGAGGGGATAAACAATGTATATGGCATTGAAACAGATGAGGTTGAGAAATGTTTAAGAGGATATATGATTAGGTATTATTTTCATGACAAGAATCCAGAGTGAGAGTTGCATGGTGGAGAGGACTGGGGGGGGGAGGGGTATCATATAATAATGAAAGTATTTTTTTCACTTTTCAAAGAGAAAAACCAACTGGAGGGAGGGGTAGGCAGGGAGGAAAATGTGCAACAATGAATGAATAAATGGAAATCCAAAGTCTTTATAAACTTTCATTAAAATTTCAGTTAAAAACAAAGTGCATCTTGGGATTTGCTTTTAATTTTGTTATGGAAAAAAATACATACAGCCTAAAATTTGTCATTTTAACATGTAGTCAGTGACCTTAATTGTATACGTAGTGTTATATAACTTTTACTATTATTTCCAAGGTTTTTTCACTTCAGTTTCTCTCCTTGGCCCAGTGCCTCATAAACTCTACTTCCAGTCTATTTTAGCCTATTCTAGATATTTTGTATAAGTGGGATCATACAATATTTATCCCTTTGTATCTGACTTACTAACGCATATTTTCAAAGGTAGCATTTATCAAAACATTCTTTCTTGTTGTTGTTGATTGTTGTTGAGTTGAGCACAATTCATCACGACCCTATGAACAAAATGTCTGAAGCCTTTCTGTAACTATCATCATTTTTCCAAGTTCATAGAGTTTCCAGAGGCACGTTGTTTAGGAAGT